ATGTAGAAACAATCGCAATACCTCCTTGACTTCCAATTTGGTTTCAAGGTGATAATCCATTACGTCCCATGCATCCCAAAACAGGGGAACGTCATCGAAAATAACGAAGGAATTAGACGGACTGTTTTCTGATACTGCTTCAAAATTCCCTAATTCGCCATCGTAAGCAAAGTTTTTGACGACGTAGCTCAGGATTTGTGCTGCCTAAAGTGGTTTCTAGAAAATGATTTTCACTTTCTGCGACTAATATCGAAAGCAAAGTTTCTGTTTACAGTTTAAGTTACCGGCAAAACGTACCTTATTCAACTTTGCAGTAAAAAAAGCATTACTGAAGATGTAAAAATCTTCACTTGCTCTTATTAACGATTGTCCTTCCAGCTGAATGTCTAACATTTCCAAATCTTCCAGCGGCCAAACTGACAAGGGCGGTACTTTCAACAAAGTCCTGTTGTAAAAAAAGGTTCTTTCCCAATTCAGGCTATTGACAACCCATTTTTTCTGGTCACTAATTTTACTCGAGTCTCCTGAAAAACAGTCCAACTTGTAATCTGCGGCCTGTGTAAAATTATTCAGTACTACTTCTATAGTCTATTGAAAGACACCAGAATTCAATTCAAAGAAAAGAAGGAATTTACTCGCCATTGAATTTCAACACGTTTCCAGCATCTTCTGTAAGACTTTCTACAAGTTCCGTGTAAATTTTTAATGAGTCCCGCACAACTTCATGGATACATGTCCCAGGCAGCACGTCATGGAACTGGTTTAACAGCAACCTTTTCCACTCTTTACTCAATGCCCGTCCTTTACCACATTCTAGCAGTTGTAGGGACTGAAAGAAGTTTTTTTAAAAAAAAAGGAACAATTTTCAATCAATTCATCTGACTTTGGCAAGTGGAATTAACCAAAAGCATCTCTAACAAAACTAGGAACTCATTACTTGTAAAAACTCTTGATCATGAAGTATGCTTTCAAGCAGCCTGTTCATTTTTTTTATTGTGGCCTGGGTGGTATAAGTACCATTGTGTAATTCCAAGTACAATTCTCCCTTCCACGAGCAGAGGTTTGGAACATCCTTCTCC